AAGTGCGTTTGGGTCGGGGCTTGTACTTATAGTCGGGGTATTTCTCCAGGTGCTGCCGGCTCAGCCGGGCTTGCTCCTCGTAGTAGGGCTGCTTCTCCTGGTTTGTCATGGACTTCCACCGCGAGCCTGCGCAGAGAGGAGCCACGGGGCACGCTTACACCACGCCTGCCGTGATGAAACCCACGCCGGCTCCTGGCTGGGATAGCCCTCGCAAGAGTTAATTAGTGCTCATACCATCCCCTGTGCAAACGGCACCTGAATTTGCACACAGACGGCGAGAGCAGCTGCACCGGTGGGAGCCCCGTGCCGCAGAGGGCGGCCAGCCCTCCCAGCACACCGGGAACAGGTCCCCAGCCCTGACCTTCCCCGGGCACCTCTTGGGCCATGGCTTCTGATGCTCTCCAAGGTATGGCGAGCAGGTGCTGCGGCTAAAATAGGCTGTGCTGGCGTGTGACTCTCATTCCCCCACTGGCTGACCTTTATTGTCATCGCCGCCAGCGCCCCGGGCAGGAGGGCAAAGCAGGGGACAGCACAAAGGTTCCTGGGCTGGGAGAGGGGCTCAGGGCCAGGTCGGCAGACAGAAGAGATTAATCCCCTCAGCTCAGCACCTGGGAGGCTGCAGCTGGACCAGCGTCCAGTTTGGGAGAGAGATGGACGAGCTGGAGGTGCTTGGAGATCCTCAACATCCTTGGAGATGCTCAACAGTCAACAGGGCACAGCCCTGAGCATCCTCATGGGATATGGGGTTAGCTGGGCTTTGAGCAGGGCTTTGGGCTGGGGACCTCCAGAGACGCCCACACACCCCTAAATCCTCCTGCGAGTCTCCACATGCCCCTCCTTGGGTGTGCTCCAGTGGGGTTAGCATCATCCTGGTGGGCATCACGCGTACGCGGGTGGCTGGACAGAGCTCGTGTCACCCCATGGGGACGCAGAGCGGGGTCCTGCCCCAGCGCCCCACACCAGCCCCGGCACTCACCCAGGATCTTGCTGATGCTGGAGTTGTGCATGTCCGGGAAGGCCTGCAAAATCTTCCTCCTCTCATCCTTCGCCCACACCATGAAGGCATTCATGGGCCGCTTGATGTGGTTGTTGTTCCTGGACTCGGGGAAGTGCCGTGAGCCTGCGAGGGAAACCCCGGCCGAGGTCAGGAGCCAGAGGAAGGACCAAGCAGGGAGTCACACCGCTGTGCTCTCGGACGTCCTTACCGTCCATCTCACAGGTCAACAGAGCCTCATCTGGCCGGTGGGCAGGGGTGTCCTCCATCCGCTCCTTCACTGGGGAAGAATCAATCCCGATGTGGTCCTGCAGGAGAGCGGAGAGTGAGGAACCAGCTCCAAGGCAGGGAGACCCGGCTCTGGGCACCAGCAGCGGGGTCAGAGGAGGACAGTGACCACCCGGCAGCCATCCCTCACCTTGCGGTAGGCGTTGCTCAGCGACCCCTCCACCCTCCATGGCCCCGCTGTGGCCATGCAGCAGCTGCCGCGCGTCCTGGATGGCTTTGGTGATGGCATCGCCTTCGCCCAAGAACCCTGGCAGGACACCGGCATGGGCACCCATCAGCACCAGCGCCCGCCCCTCTGACACCCTGCAGCACCCCATCCCACCCCAGCAATCACAACTGCGTGCCCCGAGGGGGTGGCACAGAGCAGGTGCCCACCCAGGCCACCCCAGGGAGCAGAAATGTCCCCCGTCTCCAGGAGGTGGCCAGGGGAGGACATGGGACTCATCAGTGATGGTACTTGGGAACCCACCCAGCGGCAGGTTGGACGGGCTGGTCTGCAGGTCCCTGGCGGTCCCGTGACTCGGCGTGAGGGACTGGCAGGCGCCCCTTTTCAAACTGGGCGAGCTGGAGGCACTGGGGAGGTCGGAGCCTTTGGGTTTGGCCGTCAGGTTCAGCGGCTGCGAGGTCTCCTGCGGCAGAGGGGAGGGAGGGTGACGCACAGACCCTGCAGCACCCCAGCCCAGGGGATGGACGTGCTTCGGGGCTGTACCTGCATCTGGAGGTGGCCCGAGCCGGCGGGTCTCTTCAGCGTGGAAGGAGGGGGGCTGTGCAGCAGCTGCACCGGGTAATCCACTGCGGGGAGCAGAGGGAGAGAGGGGTTGGGGGGGGACAAGGACACCCCACAGGGCTGGGGCAATCCTGGGGGACCCCGCTCACCTGGTTTGCAGGGGATGGGCTGGATGGGCAGCGCCAACTGGGAGTCGGGAGCGACGGGGAGAGGCTGGTGGCTGGGGGTGAAGGCGGGAATCATGACATAGGGCATGTTGACCTGCTGGAGGGAAGAGGGGGACAGAAGCAGAGACCAGATAACCGCTGTGGGATGCTGCAGGCAGGTGCCACCCCTTTGTCTGGCCCCAGGAGGGGACACGAGCCATCACCCAGCGCGGGAAGGGGGACGCGGGGAGGTGTCCCTCGCCTTTACCTGGATCTGCTGCTGCAGCAGGTTGATTTTGTGCTGCTGCTGGATGAGCTGCTGCTGCTGTTTGGCGATCTGGCAGAGGGGAGACAGCAGGGCTCAGCGGCATCAACGGCAGTGCCGCACTGGCCCTGGTGAGGCTACGACCTGGCATGAGCTGCCCAACACCGGCACAATGGACAAGGGGTCTGCAGAGAGTCCCAAGGTTGGGCAGGGGGTGGCCGAGCTGTCCCTGAGCCAAATCCCGGGGCACGGGGAGCAAAAACGGGCTGGGAGGGACGGTGTCACCCCCACTTGTGTGTGCCAGGGGGGTCATCCCTGCCCTTATCACCTTATGGGCCATCAGAGAGGGAAAATAGGTGTTCAAAGAGCAAAGAGAGCACAGTCAGGAAGGACGCAGTGTGGTTTAATTATTTTAAGGAGTGCAATTCCCATCTCCTGTGCTCCTGGCACAAGGAGCAAGATGGGGAGTCTTTGGGAAGAGCACAGAAAAACAGGAGGGTTTTTGGGCAGACAGCGAAGTCCTGCTGCTCTCAATGCCATGGCCACCTCCCCACCATTCCCAGGGGAACCCTGTCCTGGTCCCGCGCCCGTGGTCAGCAGATCCCAAAGGGATCCCCGAAGGGCTGGGTGGTCCCTGGCAAACGCTTCCCTCGAGCAGATTGCCCACAGGGACCTGACCCCACCTGCTCTTGCTGCTGCCGTGCCAGCTCCATCTGCTGCTGCTGTTTCTCGAAGAGCATCGCAGCCATGTTCTTCTGCTCCGAGTGGGCCGTCAGGAGCTGGTCCCGCAGCGTGGACAGCTGGTTGATCATGACAAGTAACTGGAGCTCCTTCTCTGCCAGGCTCTCCTGGGTTCCTGGAAGAAGCCAAGCGGCTGCGGGTCAGAGGCTTGGGGAGGGTGAACAGCATCATCACCACCATTGGGTGCTGGTGGGCGATGCAAAGACCCCCCGTGTGCTGAACC